TAATACTTATAACATATATAATACTATAACATATATTTACTTTTCTATTGCAGTTTTTACATCAGGAATACCAGTATACATATTTTGATGCAAACATTGCAATAATTTACAACCATGAATTTTTTGTGTACGAATCTAAAATAAATTAAAATTTTTTATATAAATATTTCAAATATTATTTAAAAATCATTTTAAAACACATTAATTAATTATATATTAATAATTTGATTTACTTCTCTTATGATAGAATTCAGAACAGAAAATAGACATATATATTTTTGGATACGACAAAGTATTAATGATAATGGAGTATAACTATCACGAAGAACTATATCTTCCAAATTAACAATCTCTTTACGAAAAGGTTCTAAAGCTTGATCCATTCCTTCGCAAAGAGCTTGTAAATATAAACCTTGAGATATATTTTGTAACTCTGCAATACATATATAATATAATATAATATAAATTAATAAAATAAAATATATAATTAAATTTAATAACAATTTTTAATACCTTGAGTAGATTTTAAATTGTCAGAAGTAGTATATTCTTGAATAAAATTCCTGATAATATTACATTGTTCAACTATATCTAATATTCTTTAAGTAATACACGTTCACCAGGATGTAAATATTTTTCAAGATCTACATTCTAAAAGTAAAAAATTTAGAAAAACATAATAAGATATAAAACTTAAAATTAATTGTAATATTAATAAATATTATTTTATAATCACATCTGATTCCAATATTTTTAAAGCATTAGTTGAACATCCCCACAATGATAACAATACTTCATGCAACATTTTAATTTGATAAAATATTATTTTTTCATTTCAAATTATGTTGCATATAAATAAGAAAGGTAGTAAAACTGAAAACTAAATAACCTATAATTCAATTGTTAAAACTTATTTTTTGTAATATATATATATTTGGTATAGTATATTAATATAATATTTGGTTTTAATTTTACATTTTATAATATTTCACGAAACGAATTTAATCACGTAAATAAAACAATGTGATCACAATTTAGAGAAATATTAATAAATTATTCATAATCATATATATAAATTTTCAGTAAATCATTATTGTAATTACAAATATATATAATTAAGTTTAATTTATTTAATTAGTTTGATATAACAAAATTATATAAATTAAATTACAATCAATTATTGTATAAAAATTTTTGAACGAATATATTATTCTTTAATATATTCTAAATAGAAAAATTGATACTTTTTTGATTCTTTATTTTCTTTATTATTTTTATTTATTATTTGTTTTTGTTAAAAATTTTATCACAAAATTAATTTTTTTTTTACACTACTAGATTCCGCTACACTACTACATGTCACGTTTTTTTTTTGAAATTTAGTTTCATATTATGTATGTACTAGATATTATATATATGGAAATCATAATTTAAAGACTATCTTCTCATGTGAACTTTTATTTTAGAAGATAGATATAATTATTAGTTTACATGAAGAAGATTTATATAGCATAATAAAATTAAGAATAAACAATTTACTATACGTCTTTCATGAAATACAAAATTATATTAAATTTTATTGTGGAAAACATTCAATATTTAGTATTGTAAAATAAATGATAAGATTAATGAATTGTTTTGTAATTTTAAATAATATCTATAAATTATGTCAAAAAATTTTAATAAATAAGTTGTGTAATATTTATATTTAGAGAGTTTTGTTTTAATTAATGTAGATAATTATATTTACATAGAAATATAATAACCTCAAATAAACAAATTACTAAAATTATGTGTAAGTATAATATTAATTAAGTTGATTAGATTATTTTTATCAAATAATTATTCAATGATTTATTAAAGTATAAAATCATCATAAAAGCAATATGATATAAATTATTTTTAATAATAAACTTTTTAGAGATATATAATTATGGATGCATTAAAGGATACATTGATATGTCGTTTGTGTGGTGTAAATCTTACAGAAGGAAAGTATAAAAGTATCTTTGAAGGATCAACAGATTTAATACATAAAATAAAGGAAACATTACCAATTTCAGTATGTTAATATATTTATGAAAACTAAAAAGTATCAATTTTAAAATTTAGACATTTTATTTAAATCAAGCATTATCAATCATTATTAAAATATTTTAATAATTTATATATTTTTGATATAATAAAATTATTATTTGCAGATATCTATTGATGATAATGGTTCAAAATATATGTGTTTATTGTGTTATGACAAAATTATTTTTTATTACAAATTTATTCAAGAAGTATTGGAATATTCTAAAAGATTACACAATACATCACAAATTAAATCTATATTTAATCTATCTAAAGAAGTAACAGATTTTTCACAAATTCATAGTGATGCTATATATACATGTCCAAATTGTAATGTTGATTTAATGATTTTATTGGTCAATAGTCCTCAAGGCTGTGATTATAACTTCCAAATTTCATTAGCTATGGTAAATCATTCTGAAAGAAAACATATTATAGAAGAAAAAAATATACAAATACATAAAAATATAGTACATTTTAATAATGCAAAAAATAATATACATTTAAAAAATGAAAACAAAATAGCAACAAAAGATATTGAAAACATACCTAATCAAGTAAGTCTAATATTACCTATATTAGAAGAAGAAAATTTAAATTATACTGATGTATTATATAACAAACAAAATTCAAAAATTGAAATACAAAAAAAATTAAAAAGAAAGGAATGTAATACTTACAATTCTTCTATTCGTTTATTTAAAATATCACAAGAGGAAGAAATATCTCGTGTATCTAATGAGAATTTATTGAACTGTAATTATGATTCTATTGATCCATTAATAAAAAATGAGCCTGAAAGTGATACATATTGGTTAGATAGTGAAACTGATTATAAAAGTGAAAAAGATACATGCATAATTAAATCACAAAATATATTAGAAAAAAATGATGTGCAAGATGAAAATGATATATATAAATCTTGTTTAAAATATATATGCAAATTATGTGGAACACGTTATCTTTCACATTTAAAATATGAATTTCATATGGAAAGACACAAATCTGGTAAAATAGATAAATATGAATGTACATTATGTCATAAAGAAACAAGTAATGAAAATTTATTATGGGATCATTATTTTCATACACATAAAAGTTTACAACGTTATATTTGTATGGAATGTGGAAAATTATTTACAAAACGATCTAGATTAAATGGACATCAAAAAAATTATAAACATTCTGGTATAAAACAAATTCAAATTGGTACTAGTGAAGATACTGTTAGTGAAGATGTCATACAAAATGCTATAGCAATAAAACAAGAAAAAATAGCAATAAATTGTAGTCTTTGTGGTAAATTAATTTCTGATTTAGATCCAGATGCTATTAATGATTTAGTTACATGTGCTACTTGTGAAGATTCTACACTTTCTTTAGTAATAGATGGAAATGAAACAAAAGTAATTTCTCCACGTCAATATCACTGCTCTAAATGTCCAAAGCATTTTGTACGAAAAGAAAGACTAGAATTTCATGAAATGAGGCATAATGAAAATATGAATGAATTTATTTGTAGTACTTGTGGAAAAGATTTTAGAGCAGAAAATTCTTTATATGAGCATTATCTTTTTGTTCATAAAGGAGCAAGACCTCATATTTGTGAATTATGTGGTAAATCATTTCAATTGAAAGCTAGATTAAAAGAACATCATCGAATTCATACAGGTGAAAGACCATATCAATGTGATATCTGTGGTCAACGATGTAGAACTACAAATGCTTTAAAACTACATAGAAAAATTCATTTTTCTCATAATAGATATACTTGTAATATATGTAATAAATCATTTAGTAAGAAACAAAATATGAATGAACATTTAGAAAAACATTGGAAAAATGATAAAAATGTAGCGTTACCACAATTATTTACATGCCCAATTTGTATAGAAGATTTTCCAACATATCGTATGTTAAAATATCACATGATAGAAGTTCATGAAATTAATAATCAGGATCCACTCTTGACAAAACAAAAACCATGGTATGAATGTACAGAATGTCATGAAAAGTTTAAACATCAAATGTCTTTAAAAGCCCATAAAGAAAGAGTACATGAGGGAAGAATAGATCCCATCTATCAGTGTGACATATGTAATGCTACATATAGAGTAAAACAACTTTTAGTAAACCATATTAAAAGTAAACATAATGGTGAAAGACGTTATAAATGTGCACAATGTGAAAAAGGATTTAATGATACTAAGTCTTTATATAATCATGTATTATTACATACTGGTAAAAAACCATTTATTTGTGAATATTGTAATATGAGTTTCAGAAGAAAAGATTCTAGAGATCATCATCGTAGAAAACATACTGGTGAACAACCTTACCAATGTCCTGATTGTGGTGAATCATTTTCTACCTATAATAATCGATCTAAACATAGAAAACGAGAACATGGAAAAGGAGATTCTGAATGTCCTGAATGTGGAGAAAAATGCAATAATCAACAAGAAATTAGAATACATTTAAATAAACATCTTGGAGAAAAATTAAAAAAATTACAAAATATAAAATCTGAGGAAATATAACTTACATATTTCAAGAGTAAAAAAAAAAATACAGTGAAACTTTGATTACACAATTGATAATCTAAATTAAAATGAATTAATATAATATAATGTAGGAAAATCTTATTTATTATTTTTCATATTTATTAATTAAAATAATAAATTATATTTATTAATTAAAATTTATTTATTGTAGCTACTTAACGCGATTCTTTGTTATATCGCATTTCATTGGTTACTTAATAAAAAAGTATAATTAAAAATTAAAAAAGAATTCAAAGACTTAATATTTTAATTTTTTATCATTATTATATCATTATTATGTAGATATTATTTACTAATTATTATTTTATATTTAATTTAATTAAAAATAAAATTTTTTATTTTTCTTTAATAAAGTATAAAATTCATTCAATATTTTAAATATTTTTTTATATCTTAATTATCAAATTATTATTTTATTGAATAAATATATTTGTGTTATATATAATAAATAATTATTAGTTTTTAAAATTATATAAATCAATTAATTGAATTTTAGATTATTTTTTTATATTAAATATTTTAATATAAAAATTTATTCTTTTTTTTTTATAAAAATTTATATAATGTGAAAAATTTTTTTATGTATTTTTTGTTAATTTTTTACACAATTATATAATAATATTAATTTTTTTTATTTATATTTGTGCAAAATTATGTCTTTAGAGATATTTTTTAATTTTTGTATAAATTTTTTAGTTAACAGATAATTATATAATTTTTGTATTTGTTATAATATTTAGAATAAAATAAATTTATTTATAATTTAAATTCTGAAGAATTATATTTTCTTAATTTAATTAAATAATTTTTTTGTTTAGGAATATAATATTTTATTATTATATTTTTTGAAATCAAATTTACATTATGTATAATATTTATAATATAATAGAAATAAAAGACTATAACATACAGATAATAAAACATTGTAATTTATCATAAATATAGTACCTGAAATAATTTATAATGATATTCAAAATTAAATGTTAATATTTAAAATTAAAATATATGTTGAAACTTTAAATATGAAACTTTTAAAATAAATATATTTCAATTACTCGAAGTTTCACTGTATATAAAGTATGATTATCTTTACTAAGTTTACTATATTAGTGAATTTCAAAATTTTCAGCAATTAACAAGATTTAGTCATCTAATAATTTATTTAATGATATATTTTTATATACTTATTTATATATATTCAAGATATTATGGGACACAAAATCATTCTATTTTATTTCAACAGAATAATGTACTTTACATATATATTTTATATTATATATGTATTAAAGAAAATTTTTTATAAGTACAAATAATATTATAAAATCAAAATGTTTGAAAGTATTGTAAAGTAAATTTTATTGTGTTATTATTTTATCATATTTATTTTTTCAATTTAATATTAATATAAAATTTTATAAATATATATATATAAATACTATTTTATAACAATGTAGTTATATTAAATTAAACATACCTATAATGTAATTTATATTATATATGTATGCAATTATCTTTTTTTAAATATATTATATATATAATGTATAATTACTTTTTAATTGTTATATTAAAATTGTTAAAAAAAAGTTTTTAATAAAAAAAAATACTTATATTTATTCTTTTATAATAGAATATTTTTAAATAATTATTAAATCATATAAACAACTTTTATTTTTTGAAAAATTTTTAATGGTGTAATTATTTAAAATCATAAAACTAAAAAAATATAAACTTTTATACATTGTTATTTTTATTTTCACGTTAGAAAAATATGTTTTTTCAAATATTATAATTATTTTAAATATTTATATTTATTAATTTTTATAAATATTTATTCTAATAAAATATATTATTTACAATACAAAATTTATAGTTTAAATAAAATTAATGTGAATATTTTTTTTGTAATAGAAAATATATAATAATTCTTAACAATGTATGTATACTCTCATATGTAGATACAGTCAAAGTACACGTGCATCTGGGACAAATGTCAAAATTTAAATGGTGCGCCTTTGCGTCTGATGCGGCGCTGCCTAGCAAAAATCAGGTGGTCGAATTTACCAGCTGTGTTACTTTATCTTGTAATCATACATAACGAAACTTTTAACTTTTTATTATAAGTAAATTAGTATTTTTAGCAAATATAAAAGAATTATACTTAATATTTTCAATTACTAATAAATATTATTCAAATTTTCTCAATTTTTTTAGAAAATCAACAAAAATAACATATGAGGAACTACTTTTCCGCGGAGTAATATCGGAAACCGTTCGAGCGAGTCAATATTTATCTCATTTTTTTAATGTAATTATACTTTATTTTACTTGAAAAATAAATGAAAAAGAAAATACTTAAATTTTAGAAAACTTTTATCATCAATTTTGTTGAAAGTCTTTATTTTTTAAATGGTTATTTATCAAAACAATTTTTGCGGAGCAATAATGTCGTGCTACGATCGCACAGACGCAAACCAGCTCCGTTCATTGGCTAAAGGAAGCAAGCGATTCACGCATATACTCTTTTCTGTAAATACATATTCACTAACACTGACCTAAAATTTTCACACAAGATTCAGGAATGTATCTATTACATAAGATACCCTCTAAATTTCAAAATATATTTGTTTATTTTTAGAAAATTCATTATTTAAAATTATATTTTTAAACATTTATTTTTTATTAAAATTATTTTTTATATATTAATGATAATTTTTTATTAAGATGAAATTAATATTGTTAAAAATAATCTTTAGTTTTCATGAAAACATGAAAAATTAAATTCTATTATTACACCATTAAATATAAATTGTATATTTATAAATTGCTTTATTATTATATTTTTAAAATTATGAATTTTAATATCATATATTAAATTACTTGTCATAAAATGAAATAATAATTTTATAAAATTAATAGAACAATAAATGAACACAAAAATAATAAAAATAATGTCTTAATATTTAAATTATTAAAATATTATGAAAATTTAAATATATCTATATGAATTATATTTTTTTAATGTAAAAAATTATAGGGAATTTATTAATGGTCCAATTGAAAATAAGAGAGATAAATACGATCCTGGTTGCTCAGAACAAGTAGGGGTGAAGGGAGAGGCAGGTTCGCACACACACCGGCGCAGAACGAGGAGCGAATTCACTCGCCGGCTCTCAACAAGAACGCGTCGACATATACACCGTGCTTGAACGTACTGAGGTGATATATTTCTTATTTATCCTACGGTCGAAGGCGAGTCAATCGTAAAAATGGCCGGGGAAAAGCGTACTCAAGATCAAGAGGAAACCTTATTGTCAGAAACGGTGATCTTAGTTGACATCGAAGGCACTACGACGAGCATAAGCTTCGTGAAGGTAACAAAGACCATGGCCGTGAGGCAGAACGCACCCTACGGTTCTCGCATTTCACCGGTTTTTTGATTTATTTTCTGACAGTATCTAATGATCATAATTTTTTATACAGAGAGTTTCTTTCACGTAAAATATTGAATCTTACTAAAGACTTTTTGTACTGAAAAAAATTTATAGATTATACTTTCGCGCGTATTGTGTGTGTTCTCTTAACATTTACTATGCCGGCTGAAATCCAGTTTCAAGTTCCCTTTTCTCAATACAACGAAGTTTCATGGAAGGCAGTAAATGTTGTTTCATCAGATCTAAAGCGAATAAAATATTATTTATATTGTATCGAATTTTTTATTTATAATTTTAGGATAATACATTGTTTACTCGTTAATGTTTTTTGTAAATTTTTAGAATTGTTTTCTAAGATTATAATGAAAACAAACTAAACGAATATTTGGAAGATTTAGCTTATTTATAAAAACGTAAAATACATGGAATTATCATATATCGCACTATAATATTATTGCACATATTTTTCAAAATAACGGAAACCATAACGGCGCACCGCACTGTTAATTCGATCGACGAACACACTACATTCACGTTTACCTTACTTTCAGGACACACTTTTTCCTTACGTACGAGAGAATTTAAAGAAATATATTGAAACTAAATGGGAAGATGAAGAATTCAAACAAGACTTTGAGAAATTAAAAGAACAGGTAAAAATTACAAATAAATATTATAACATTATAACATTAAAATGGAATATTAGAATATTATATTGGAATATATATATATATATAAAATTTTTTTTATTTTATTTATTGATATTAAAAATATTGAAATATATTGGAAATAATATAAACAATTATAATTCTTGAAAAAAATTACATTATTTATTATATATATGTTTATAATACATTATTTTTTTATTTATGTTTTAAGTATTTAAGTAAGTAATTATGTTTTTTTTTTATTAAAATTGTAATTTAAAATAATAAATATAGTATTATATTTTAATAATGAATTTTAGAATAACTAATTTGTCAGATAAAAATTATTAGATTTTGATCTGGGAACATTTTTTTGCTAAAGTTTTTTATTTAAATTGTACATTATGAAACTTAAAATTTAAATTATAAATTATTTTTTAAATATTTTTGAAATATTTATTATTATAAATTATAAATATAATTTATATTTTTATTTAAAATATAGTTTACATAGTTACATATTTTAGTTTACTATTTAATATTATTTAATATTAATCAATTTATATAATATTTTATGTTATTTTACATAATTTAAATTATGAATTATTATTTTTTCCATTAAACTATTTAAATATAAGTTGATTAAACTAAAGATAAAATAATTATATATCTTATTTATAGAAAAAAATTTTTTAAAATATTAATCAAAATTGATGCTTATTTTTTATAATTATTTTAAAATTTTTTTTAACAATATTGAATATGGTATAGTATGTAACATTATTTGTTTATTAAAATAAATATAAATTTGAATTTTAATTGTTAAAATATATTTTATATTATGTACTTTTATTAAAAGAATATTATATAAATATTATAAAAGAAATATTGTTTACAAATTCATTTATAAATATTTAATATTTTAATCATAGGCAAAGAAAGATGAAGAAGATAAAATTGATGGTTTTGTACCAATTATTGATGCTAATATAGAAGAAGAAAGAGAATCACTTGTAAAAAATATATTATGGCAAATGGATTGTGATCGAAAAACCAGTGCATTAAAACAATTACAAGGACATATGTGGCGTGAAGCTTATAATTCTGGATCAATTAAAGCACAGTGAGTCTTTTGCAATTTATTTATTGTAAAAGATTTTTACATTTTGAAATTTAATGTTTAAAATTTTTATATACAAATAATATAAGTATATATTTTCAATAATATGTTATATAAATATATATAACATAAAATCTTATATTTTTATGTAATATATATATATTTATATATTATAAACATCTCTTAATATATTTTCCAAATTTACATATAAATTAATATTAAGAAGAAATGTTTTTAAAAAATTATTTAATAATAAATAAATAACAATATACAACTTTATAGTATACACACCATTGTGAGGTGAACATTTTGTGTAAGGGCTCACTTCAATTTCACATAAATATGTCGCTACAATTATTATAAACAATTTACAATATAGTAAACTAAAAATAATCAAGAAAATGATAAATAAATTATTTATGTAGTGTTTATGAAGATGTACCAAAAGCACTAGAATCATGGACGAGTGATGGTAAAAAGGTCTATGTTTATTCAAGTGGTAGTGTTGAAGCACAAAAACTTCTATTTGAACACTCAATATATGGTGATTTACTTAAGGTATTTTATTATATTTTATTTGTAATAAATGATAGTATTTATAAATATATGAGAAATTGAATATAATAGATTGTTCTATATATTATTGTTTTTAGCATTTCAGTGGTTATTTTGATACTGAAGTAGGTCCAAAACAAGAATCAAATAGTTATAAAAATATATTAAGTAAAATTGGAGTTGAACCATCAGATGTAATTTTCTTAACTGATATTGTAAAAGGTTAGTTATTTATTTTATAATATTTTAATATTTTCAAAGCATAGTTGTCGTTAAATCAATTCTTATATTTTATTAATATCAATTTTTATATTTTCCTATAATAGAAGCTATTGCTGCAAAAGAAGCAGGTTTATCAACAGTTATAGTACTACGTGAAGGCAATGCTCCTCTTACAGATGAAGAAAGAGTGGCTTCTACAACTATTAAGTCATTTTTAGACTTAACATTTCAAACTTCTACAAAAAGACAAAAATTGGAAGCTATAGAAGTTCAAAAAGATACAAACAAATCCATGTCTGATGTTAATGAACCAATGGATACTTCTGAAGATGTTGAAATGTCTGATGTCAATAATCAAGAAAAGAAGATTGATAAAGTCGATGTAAAAGAAGTTGTCCAAGAAGAAATAAAAGAATGTGTTAAAGATCAGCTACCAAAAGAAGCACAAATTTCAGATGTGAAAATGGATGAGCCTATGATTACTGATATGAAAGAAGCAGCAAACGCTGAAAAACTAATGGAAAATAAACCTGAAAAAGTAGAACTTCAGCCATCTGAGGTGAGTACAAAATTAGACACTTCTGAAAATGTGCAAGTAACTATGAGCGGTAGCACTGAATCAACGATAAAATCTTCGAAAGATGATATTGACAAATCTGCTGTTTCTGAAAAAATAGAAAAATCTATAATAGAAAAAACTATAGAGTCTATATCAGAAACAACTCTTACTGCCAATGATACCTTGAATGTTGGGACAAGTGAGCCTAAATCAAAGTCTGATCAAGTTTCTATTACAGAGAATAAGACTGAAGAATTTTCAAACATTGATAAAGAAATAAAATCTGATGATATAAAAATATCAGATGTAAAAACTATTGAAAATGTTTTACAAGAAAAGAGTATTAGCAGTATAAACGAAAAACCAGAAGAATGTTCTAATAAATCACAAAAAGAAATGAAAGAGGAGTCCACTGAAAAAATTGTAATTAATTCTAGTATAATAGAAACTCAAACATCAGAAAATGGTACATCTTCGATAAAATCTGCACAAGAATCGACAAAAACAGAAGAAAAACCTGCAGAAAATGGTGATGTTCCATTAACAAATGTAGAAAAAATTATTGCACCAACGATAACAGAATTAGAAGCTACTAGTAGCAAAGTAGATACAAATACTGAAATAAAAAATACCACAGAAATAATTAAAGAAATAAAGTCTGAAAAAGAAGCAGAATTGATTAATATAAAATCTAAAACAAAAGAAATAGAAGAAATATCAATACCTAAAATTGATGCAGAAAAACAAGTAAGTGTAGAAATATCAAAACAAGAATTAACAGAGAAATCAACAAAAGAAGAAACTGTAGCGGATGAAATAAAAGAAACAAATACAGTGGATTCCGAAAAGAAAAAATTAAATAGTACAACACAAAACGGAGATACAGATGTGTCAGTGTCAGATGATAAATTACAAAGAAATGGACTAAATGAAGGATCATCGAACGAAAATATTAATTCGTCTACGAGCGAAAATACATCTGCGCAAAATGGTGAACCAGAGAGTTCCTCTGAAGCTAGTGCAGACTCTATAAAAGTCAAAAAAGTCGTTGATTCTGCTGTAGCCGATGGTGCCGGCGAACCTGACGTTGTTCCCCCTGTAGTTGTAGCTGCGACGTCTTAATCTTGTTCTTATACATTTTAAGAAGTCCTTCATACATAACCCCAACCCACAATACTTATCCGCAGATATAAACTGAAAAGTTGGCTCCCTACACCTTACATAAATCGTACGACGTTAAAGATGTAATACGTTAATTTAAGATACAGTTCATAAGATTTCTATTTCTTCGACAAATGTGAAGGGAAATGATAGTAATGACGTATACAGCGTGTCTCAGATTCGATTATCTTTTACATGTCACAGTTTGATATATATTTATATCAAATGTATATGTATATGTATATGTATATGTATATGTATATGTATATGTATATGTATACATATATACATAACATACATACATACACATATACATACATACATATATACATACATACATACATACATACATACATACATCTGATATTTATCGATTATGCTTAATAGAAAATTTAAGAAAGATAAACACTCAGTTCCTATATTTCCTACTTTACATTGCTTAATTTATTTTATTATACTTTATCTACATTTTTTAGTTTGTTTATACAAATGTATTTTTTATAATTGACATACATTTATAATTCAAATTGACTCAAGGATAATCGAAAATGTCATTCGCTGTAGTCAATAAGTATTTTTAATTTTTCTTTTTTTATTACATTTTATAATGTGTATTAAGATTTTTCTTTTATATTATCTAAACGGAATGTTATACTATGAAAATTTATAGAATAGCAAATTCATCATAGTTGGAGTATGCTAAAATACTGAATGTACTTTGTGCCAAATGAATTAATTCATCAGTTTGAAGATTTTTATGATTATATGTACGGGATATTAATATATTCATGAGATACTTTTGGAAGATTAATTTTAAAAGCTAAACAAATAGAAATATACAAAAATGTCGTTTGAATTTTATCAAATTATAAGAAATTTAAGCTTATGTTAAATAAAATAAGCTTGATCTATCTCTATCACATTACTATCTTATTCTATTTTATTTCATCTAACATAAATTTAAGTTTTGTTATAACTTGACAAATAAATCAACTAACATTTTTATATATTTTTGTTTTTGTGTTTGTACTAGAATTGATCCTCCAAAAATGTCATACGGATATATTAGCATTCTAAGTTTAAAGATTTGATCACTATTTTAGTTTCTTACAACAATCAGGGAACTTTAATTATATATTTTAAGACTGAATTGGTAATGCCTCGAAAAGTCGCTGGCTTTAGATTAATGATATGATTTTTTGCATACTCTTGAGTACTTAAATTGTTAATAACACAGTGATCTTCGAATCATAAGTCTAAACTTACTATCGAACAACTGTGTTTTACAATGAATTTTATTTGACTATATTAGATATATTTTTCACATTTCAAAGAATGCTGTGCGACTTATTGTAATGTGTCTGACATTATATTCCTATTTTCTTTTTCTTTTCGACATTTTTTTATTGAAATATATATTTCTAATTTGGAACATTTTGAATAATGTTGGCCTATATGCATTACGCGTTTCTGTTTTTTATATTTCGTATCACTTAACATTTATCGATATTAACTTAATTTTGAACAATTTAAAGTTTTGTGTTGCATTTATTAGTATTCTATAAAAATTATAATATTCATTTATTGTCAATGACGCGACTATAATACGGTATATATTACATGCAAACATTATTTTGTTAGTTATATAAAATATATTTAATATAGAATAATCCGATTAGAAGGAAAAATACTTCGGTTTGGAAATTTATTTTTTCATTTCTACGGATTAATATATGAAAATTTATTTTAAAATAATTCCTTCCCGATAGTGATAATTTTTTTTTTCTGTTTTTTTAAGATTCGTAAATTATTTTCAACAAAATTTGAAACAAGAACAATTATTTATTTATTATCCATTCCTGCAAAATTGACTGTGATTTAACGATATAATAATAGACATAGGGAATTTAAACCAATTCATTTATTATTCACGTTTAGTATTTTGTTTGGCAGGCTATTATATTAATATTTTTTTTTTCTTTTTTTTTTTTTCCCTAACGAAATTAATATACATCCTGTCTGATTGAAGTCACTGTGAAGACTGTAGACGATATAGTCTGTAAACAATCAAAGTTTCTATATTTCTTCTTTTTTTTTTTAAATTACAATTGTTTTTTGTCAGCGGCTATGCTAAAAAAATTCAACAATGCATAAAGTCGAATAAACGAAGTGCAACGTCAGCTATTATCTTATAAGTATATGTATAGTCAGTAACAATTATATTACGAGATTTCAAACGAATGCATATTTTTTACAAGACACTTGACAGACCTCGCATTTATTTATAAGATATCCTTACGATAATGAAAACCATTTAAATACTCATTAATTTTTTTTGACGTTGCATAATTCATTATGAATGAAAAGATGAAGAGATTGTTCAAAAATCTTCATACGTTACCTGAAATATAATTTAAATTTTATGTGTTTAATAATAAAATTTTGAAAAATATTCGAAGATATCATAAAGGATAAGATACATTACCGATGTTCGATTTGATCCTATATGATAACTTATCCTTAAATCAAATAAATAGAAAAACATTTTCCAATCAATATTATAAAATTTAAAACAGTTGCAAATTCATTGAATGTATACTCAATAAAATAAGTATATCCAAAAATGCTCAATTGCAAAAATTAAACAGTTTCATTAAAAATTCTTAACTATAATTGACAAAGAAAACATTATGTTAACAGCCTCGAAGCGTTAACGATTGTAAACTGCCGATTTTTTGCCATAATGAATTTTTTTAATTGTTTTTTCAGTAATATTTTAACTACTGACTGCCATCAGTATAATAAAATTAAATTTTTAGACGTTAGCTAGCAATATGTATAAAATTTTTCTCGACTGACTTTCATGGCATCATCAGATATCATCATCTCCATATCATCCATTATTATTCTTGTGTCAATAGTCGAAAGAATCGAAGTACATATTGGTAATTTGCGTCCTGTAATTTCTTATTTTTTTTCTTCTTTTTGCTAGTGCTCAATTTTAACGAACCTTAGTCTTTTTTCTTCAAACATATACAATCGTGTTTAATTATACATAAAATAGCGTCGTTAATGTGCTAAGTTTAGGGATCGTTAACTCTTTGCGGTTTTGTAAGATTTAAATATTATTAGAATTAATGCGAAATGAAATAAATATAAATTTATGATTGGTCATATAAAATTTAACAGAATGAATTATTAATTTTTCAATATTGTGAACCGCAAAGTGTTAAAATGAAAAGTGTTTGTAAGTTTAATGTTAAATTTTTGACTGTGACGTGTCAACTTAAAGATTCGAATCAACGTTTGATACCCGGTGTGATGCGACCATACTCTGAAATATGTATGAATGCAGTTTTATTGTGTTATATTCTCACATGAGGTCGCCTGGCCATCGTACACTGCCTTGTTATTTATTATCTTATATGATGTACCGGATATTGACCGATCAAAATTTTCATTAGTCATGAATCATTAATAAAACGTCAATGCTTTGTATTTTGTTGAAAATTAAATGAGTGTGTCGCATATAATATAATTTTTTCATTCGTGACACATTTCATCATTTAAACTCGTACGTATAATAGTTGTAGATTTTGTAAGCGAATTAAAACGTAACGTAATTTCTCAAAACGTTTTTTCACAGCTTACAAGTCGAACAGCTACTTAAATTATATGCGTAAGATTTGTCGTCCTTTCAGAATACATTAGATACTGAAATACATTAAGTACAGAAGATAGGAAATATTAATAAACAATAGCTTCGTATCGATTAGCGATTATTATTTGTAATTCATTGGCTATTTTATGTAACATGTCAATATAAGTGTAGGAGAGAATGTACGGACTTAATTGATACTTTTTAACGATAACCTTCGATGGAGATTCCTGAAACAAAGATTCGTATCCTATAAGAGACTGCTCTGTTGCTTTTTTTCTCAGCCAAGTATTTTACATGTTTTTTTCTTTTCTTTTGTTACATGAAACCATTCGTAGTTACTATTTCCCAGTGTTCTCTAAATGATTAACGCGCGCGTGTGTGTGTTTGTGTTTGTGTGTATGTGTGCGTGTTACACGGTGAGGGCACAAAGCTGAGTTCTATTTCATGATATCAATTTTAATGATCATCAGATCTTAAATACAACTTTATTGGATGAAATAACATATTATTGGCTTCAGAATGGTATGTACTGTACAGGAAAACATTGACGGTTCTGTTCCCTTTGAACTTTTGACTGCATTCGTAGAGCAAAATAAATGAATTTTGCAATTAGAATCTGAGCATTCACCTTTTATTTCATTATTCCTAAAGAAGGTTTTGAATGCGTGAATAAGATTTGTTTTTGAGAGAAAGAGAGAAAGGATCCTTGAAAATGAAGCGAGCATACTCATCCTTTTCTTCTTCGTATTAAATTTTATTTAGATGTATATATTCTTATGGTAATATTAAATTAAATATAACAGAAGTAAGAAAACAATTAGTGTTTTTTTTCTCTTTCTTTTTTTCTTTTTCTCTTTTTCTCTTTCTCCTTTCCCACAATTTGGAATTAAAAAAATGGTATAAAGAGGCAAAAAATGTAATTAAAATATATTGAAATATTGAAAATAATTAAAATAATTGAAAATAAATCTGCTCTCGGTATTATTTTCTCGAATTGATTCGTGCTATTGTTGTTCTCAGCTAGTCGATAATGTTAGGTGTAGCAGCATTTTCATCCAATCGATTCTGGAATGCTAGTCATTCTACTATGCGCACTAGAGCATTAATTTTCAAGCAGCCAATTCAATAAACCGAGATATAAAAAGTTTTATCTCATTTTAATTTACATTAAAGCAATAATATTATCTGAAAATAATTCTTTTTGTTCTCGTCGTAATGTTAAGAACAAAATGTATTACATATTTGGTACTTGAAATATATATTGTTCAAATATGTGACAAATTTCTTTTTCTACTTACGACATTGAAATATCTAGAATCGAAAAACAAAAATATGAAATTTTATTTAAAAATTATTTTATGTACATGTAAAAATATAGTGTATTAATATTGCCCATGTAAAGCGTTTTATATTAAAAAAAATTAAATATACAAGAATTAAAATATTTATAATTAAAGAAATTAAAAAACTAAAATAATATTTATATTAATGATAAATTTTTTTAAAATAATAATTTATAATGATTTTTTAATGTTTCTTAATATATTATGCATACTATATCTTTTTTATTTGTATTAAAAAAAATATATAAATTCTATAAAAAATATATATTAATCTTTTATAATATACTTTATTTTATTTTAATTTTATATACTTTCTTTTATGATAATTGAATTAACTTTTTAATTATTTTATACTGGATGAATTTTAATTTATTTTAAACTATATATCATATTTATTATTTTTTTAATACATTTTTTGAACATATTTTTATTCATAATTTCTATCAAACTTGAATATTTTATTTTTCTTCATTATTTTATTTTTATATAAATTTTTATTATATAACATATGCATTCTATTTCTTTTTCTTTTTTTTCTATGTTATTTTCTAATTATATATTAAAATGTATTAAATTATATATAAAAAATATACATATATATATATATTTTTTAAAAATATGTATTCAAAATGTATGCATATAATAAATATAAACTATAAATACAGAGATTCATTCATAATATTTTATATATATATATATTAGAATTAAAAGATGCAAGCATTTAAACTTTCTCTTACAGAACATAGAATAAACTGTGCAAAGGGAATAAAAAAGTGTTGTTTCATAGTTTAGTCTGGAAGCTTTTACTTCACATGAAGAAAGTGTAAGGTCTTTCACCTGTAAA